AAAAGTAGTTTCATCATCATACCAGCCGTTAACTGCCCACTGCTGAAGAGTACCAGAGGGAGACTTTGTACAAAAGTCGTTTGCTTGGGCACCTCTGTCCCATTCATGTTTCAACCTTATAGCAGTTTTATTTGCATGGCTGTGTTTCGGTTTGAAGGGTGGGATATGGTGTGAATTTACAGGGTACAGAGGAATAACATCTGAGTCCTCAGGAATGGCAACGCATGGGGGGTATCATGGGCGTAACAGTATACTCTGTAATGTCCATGATACTGCTCATGTTTATAGGCGACGGTTACCACTTTCCATCAGGTGGGCCGTCAGCTTGTTTGCCATTCTAAGTTTTATAAAAAAAAGAATATAGGCTTCTTACGTTCAGGGTCCTATAAAGTGGGGTTTTGCCAGTAGTTACCACCCTTGGCAGGCGGGTTGAAAACCGCAGTTTGGCTTTTAGTGATGTTTTAAGAGGGATGTTGCTGCTCATTCCATTAACCATTATATTCCCCTAGTCGCCTTTTACGACCCCTACTGGAAAGGAAAAGGTGCCTATTCTATGCAGGGACCACATGGCCAAAAATAATAATATACACTGTGTAAAATGCCTAATGTTTTCTTTTATATAACGTCTCACAGTGGGTACACTGACGACAACTGATAGAACGTGGTAACCGTTAGCAAAATTCAGTTACATACCTACAGGGTGTAATCGAAATCGGTAGTGTCGTTGTAATGAGGTGTCATATCATAGGAATAAATAAATTTCGATAAATGTGGCAATCATGGGGAGGCTTAGTTTCAGTTCAGGGTTCAGCAGCGGACAGTTAAAGGCTGATATAATTATATTATTATTTTATAGGACTTTCAGCAACTCAGGAGAAACGTTTTAAGTTCCAGGCTGCAGGCAAGAACTAGTTTTATATTGTTAATTAGAACTGACCTTTGTTATGTATACGCTTAATTTTATGTTAGAGAAGCGGATACATTTAGTATATTTACACATTATTTAAAGGAATAGCTTGTTAACACTAAAAGTCAACGGTCACAAACGTAAGGTATCTAAATAGTAGTGGCCGACAGTTAAATCCACGGATATGAGTTCAAATAGATGCCGCAACACTAAGTTTTTTCCGAAGTAAATTCAAAAGAAACTATTTGTTCTCTGGCTAGATTTCGATCCAAGTTTTTGCGTGAACTTCGTGTAAAAAAAAAGCTAGATGACTGTTAAAAGGTTTTATCAGACAAGAGTAGCTCCAATTATGACAACATTATTATGGAACTAACACGGGAGCAAATTTCGTAAACTGTGAATAGAATCATCAAAGTCACTTTCGTCAGAATTGGCGAACATTAAATTGCACATCTACAATGCACAAAAGAATTATTTAGAATATGACAAGATATTGCATCAAATATACAAAAAAATATAGGGTAAATTTTACGCGCGATTGCCCTCTCGTGACGGGGACAAAAGCTAGATTATGTTTTTCTCCATCCCAAATACTACGTATATGTGAAATTTCGACGTAACAAACGCGCCACGAGATAACAAACACACTTTCACATTTATAAATAGTGCCGATATAGAACTTCACTGCAAAATATGAAACAATTGTGATATCGATTGTTGTGAGTACAAGCGTCGTCTACATCCATCTATGTCTGTGTTAAGCCACGTGGCGGAGCGACAAGTCATTAATCATGCATGAAAAGCAACAGGTGGCGAGCGGCGCAGCGGCCTCGTGTTAACACTCCTGTAATCGTTTAACCTCATTTAAACAGCCCCTGTTCATATTGTTTGTTATAGTACATTGTTTCACGGCTCGGGTTATTTTTTAGAACAATGGCACGTCTTTTGAAAGTATTATATGTTCTTATTGGACTCCGTTGCTGTAAGGTTCTTTGTCTTGCAATTTAGAGGTCTGACATGTATATATACTTTTTAATAGCTAATTGTATCATCGTGCGGTTCGTTAACATACCATTCTTCGGTCAAACTGTTTATACTCTTCTCCATCCAAAGGTTGCGTGGAAGAGATCGCTCTTAGCGATAAGGTCGTCCATTGTTTTCTCATTGTGATTATTTCTTGTAATTGTTTATATTTATAATAAGTTTACTATTGTAATCTTATAGAGGAAATAATAAAGAATATCTATCTATTTCGTTCTATAAACAATGGAGATTATTGCACTTGGTGAAATATGGAATTCATCATTATAAGTAGGAATAGTTGTATTACATCCATGGGTTTTTATTTGTTACCTTCCGGTCTTTATCTGCAGCTAAGCAACTGTATTTCCATGGCTGTGTTTCAGTTTAAATTTGTGGGAATAGAAACATAGTACTGAATTTGGTTGCAGTATATGTCGATACGGGATTGAATATAAATTCATTTTCTGCTGATTTATTATTTGTGGTGCTTTCAGTTAGATTGGACATTTGATTGTCGCTATTGTACCGAAGAGTACAAAAACATTTGAGTGAATAGTAAAATAAATCACTACTCGAGTACAAAAATAAATGCTATGGGTAGGTGAATACCGTATACCACGTCATATCAGCTATCAATTATCCACTGCTGCATGCAGGCCTCTCTCTATTGAGGGATTATAGTAGTTGCTACGTTTGGCAAGCAGGTTGGCAACCGCAGTAAGGCCTTGGAGATGTTTTAAGAGGGACGCTGTTGCCTAACTAAACATTAACCATTAAGTTCCTAAGGGAACTTAATGGTTAATAGTCAGCTCTTACGACATCCATGGGAAAGGAAGGGGTGGCCTATTCTATGCCGGAGCACACGATATAGGTGAATACAACTAGGTGATAAATCTTAGTTAATATTACGCAATGAAAACGATAATATCGTCGGTTATTAAAAAAAAAATTAAAAAAAAATATGGAACGCTTAACAAATTCGTGCCTCTCACGAATAAATGTTACTAATATAATAAATTTTTAACTGGACGATATTTAAAAAGAAAGATGTTTTAATAGGAGTAACAGAAGCCAAAAAAATAATGTTTAGAAATTTTCTCTATCTGTATGTTTGTTCCGGTATCAGGCGAAAACTGCTGTACCGAATTGAACGTGCTTTTCACTGTTATGTACATGAAGGTCTACCTTAAAACCATCCACAAAGTAGTTCTCGTTTAAATTATTTTACATTGTACAAAATATCACATTTACATATTCGGTTCAATCTCAATACCATCAGAGATTACTGTGCGGAGGTCAGTTACCGGAGATAAATCATTTGCTCTACTGTCTGGCATTATTACTGTGGACAATCTTTTTATTGTATTACTGCAAAACTTAAAAAAAAAAAAAAACTCGCGGAAAGAAGTAGTGCCACTACAGTTCCACAGTTTAGTTCAGTTTCACCAGAGGGAGACTTTGTACAAAAGTCGATTGCTTAGGTACCTCTGTTCCATTCGTGTTTCAATTGTGAAGCAGTTGTGTTTGCATGAGTGTGTTTCGGTTTGAAGGGTGGGATATGGCGTGAATTTACTGGGTACAGAGGAATAACACCCGAATCCTCAGGAATGGCAACGCATGGGGGGTATCATGGGCGAAACAATATACTCTGTTATGTCCATGGTATTGCTCGTGTCTATAGGCGACGGTTACCACTTTCCATCAGGTGCGCCGTCAGCTTGTTTGCCATTCTAAGTTGTATAAAAAAAAAAGGTTTCTCAGTACTGTATCCAATTTCGTAGGGCACATCTTGTAAATGTATTGAATAGGCGAGTTGTATGTGCGGCCATTGATTGCATCGTGATTTCCATCCCAAGTACACACTACATTTAATAGATTTCTCTACGGCCGCTTTCATCTTTCGGCTCGGACATGAATATGTTGATATTGCTCTTGAAGTTTCACTTGGCGCGTGGGCGTGTCGGCATGGCGATATTGTAGTGATACTTTTTACAAGTATCATACAATCAGACCAGTCGCTGGGCTCTCAAGCTAGGTTACCTTAGCAGGCAACGAACATTTGGAAGGGTCACCCTGAATACTGAGACCCGTATATAGAGCATTCAATTTCCTCATTTAGATATATTACGCAACGTGCTTACTGCAATATACAAGTTAAAATTGTCTCGTGAAATTGTATAACATCTTCCAACGTGGAATTGTTCCTCAGTAAATTGAGTTCTCTCTTATTTTCTACAATAGCTTTTACCTTTCCCGAACTATTACGAATTGTAATACAATATATTGTTTTATTCAAATATTGTTGTTATTAGTACATTACTGCAGCGGCCAGCAACTGAGGCATTGATGGACGAACGTGCAAAGGTGGGCCGAGGCGTTGCCGTGGCACACATACGTGAGTCCATCAATGCCTAGTCGTGGCCAAGGCTTGTATAGTACTTTTCTCAAACAATGCGCGAAAATCAAAAACACAATTTTACTTTTTAAGTTCAATGATGAATAACGAACAATAATAATTTTTCACGCGCCATAATGTTCCTTTGGTTTTTTTCTTCAATAAACAGCTTTCTATTTGAAAGCCAGTTAGAAATTTAAATAAAACTTATTTGTTATCTCCTTGGTAACCATGTTTCGAAGTAAAAGGACTAAATTACAGGACAGATATGAGTTTACATAGTAATTTATCTGGCCGCAAAACACGACAGATATGGAATTTCATACAACTTTTGCCGGCCGCTGCCCGCATGTATCTGGCCAGTACGGCAATTTTCATTTATCTCGAAGAAGATTGTTAAAATAATGCTCACATTTACAAGCATGTTTGAGAAATAGTTTATTATTTTAATTTTTATACCGATGCGTAACTGTTTAAACATTGTTTTTTATTTCTTTGTTGTTCTTGAATATAGTTGTAAAATGATTTAAAGGAAAACCGCTATATCACAACATGAAATATAAGAAATATAACCAAACAGATGTTTGGTACCATTTGTTTGGTTACTAGCAATATATAACATAACATAACAGGCGTAGCCGCCTGTCTCAGGGGCTGTTTCCTGGCTGTGATTACCTTGGCAGTGATGTAGAAGAGATTGTTGAGCACCATTTCCGTCGCCTCCGCGGAGCCGAGCCCCTCGCGGCGTCCGGTGCGGCCGGCCTCCGTCGCATAGTACTGAAATTATATGTCTCCTTTACCACAATAAACATCTATTGAGTACATTATTTAAAAAAAAATGTTCATATTTTGACCATTTATATACTGGATAACGAGAATTTAATGAATCTAACCATTATCACTTACATATTGCTATTATGTTTGCGATCTAGCTGTATCACAGAGGTTTTTCCTGCGTGAATCTGAATAAAAAGCATTATATGGGCCAAGGACACGGTTTTCCTGTTTGTTTGACTTAATTTAAACGCGTCCGGTCGTTTAAATGCGATTGAGTATTAATAAATATGCAAAAATCTTTACATATTTTATACAAGATACAATAAGATCGATCCTTTTTTATTATGTTCAATATATATATATATATATATATATCTTAAAATTTCTATCACTGATAGGAATTAGTAGCGAACTATAAAAAAGAGGATGTTACAAAAAATTACGGAAAAGTCGTAGTGTCACAGGCTTTTCTGTCTGAAAAACCCTCTTTCAATACTAATAGTAAGTGTGTAATAGTAAGTAGTGTGTGTGTGTGTGTGTGTGTGTGTGTGTGTGTGTGTGTGTGTGTGTGTGTGTGTGTGTGTGTGTGTGTGTGTGTGTGTGTGTGTGTGTGTGTGTGTGTGTGTGTGTGTGTGTGTGTGTGTGTGTGTGTGTGTGTGTGTGTGTGTGTGTGTGTGTGTGTGTGTGTGTGTGTGTGTGTGTGTGTGTGTGTGTGTGTGTGTGTGTGTGTGTGTGTGTGTGTGTGTGTGTGTGTGTGTGTGTGTGTGTGTGTGTGTGTGTGTGTGTGTGTGTGTGTGTGTGTGTGTGTGTGTGTGTGTGTGTGTGTGTGTGTGTGTGTGTGTGTGTGTGTGTGTGTGTGTGTGTGTGTGTGTGTGTGTGTGTGTGTGTGTGTGTGTGTGTGTGTGTGTGTGTGTGTGTGTGTGTGTGTGTGTGTGTGTGTGTGTGTGTGTGTGTGTGTGTGTGTGTGTGTGTGTGTGTGTGTGTGTGTGTGTGTGTGTGTGTGTGTGTGTGTGTGTGTGTGTGTGTGTGTGTGTGTGTGTGTGTGTGTGTGTGTGTGTGTGTGTGTGTGTGTGTGTGTGTGTGTGTGTGTGTGTGTGTGTGTGTGTGTGTGTGTGTGTGTGTGTGTGTGTGTGTGTGTGTGTGTGTGTGTGTGTGTGTGTGTGTGTGTGTGTGTGTGTGTGTGTGTGTGTGTGTGTGTGTGTGTGTGTGTGTGTGTGTGTGTGTGTGTGTGTGTGTGTGTGTGTGTGTGTGTGTGTGTGTGTGTGTGTGTGTGTGTGTGTGTGTGTGTGTGTGTGTGTGTGTGTGTGTGTGTGTGTGTGTGTGTGTGTGTGTGTGTGTGTGTGTGTGTGTGTGTGTGTGTGTGTGTGTGTGTGTGTGTGTGTGTGTGTGTGTGTGTGTGTGTGTGTGTGTGTGTGTGTGTGTGTGTGTGTGTGTGTGTGTGTGTGTGTGTGTGTGTGTGTGTGTGTGTGTGTGTGTGTGTGTGTGTGTGTGTGTGTGTGTGTGTGTGTGTGTGTGTGTGTGTGTGTGTGTGTGTGTGTGTGTGTGTGTGTGTGTGTGTGTGTGTGTGTGTGTGTGTGTGTGTGTGTGTGTGTGTGTGTGTGTGTGTGTGTGTGTGTGTGTGTGTGTGTGTGTGTGTGTGTGTGTGTGTGTGTGTGTGTGTGTGTGTGTGTGTGTGTGTGTGTGTGTGTGTGTGTGTGTGTGTGTGTGTGTGTGTGTGTGTGTGTGTGTGTGTGTGTGTGTGTGTGTGTGTGTGTGTGTGTGTGTGTGTGTGTGTGTGTGTGTGTGTGTGTGTGTGTGTGTGTGTGTGTGTGTGTGTGTGTGTGTGTGTGTGTGTGTGTGTGTGTGTGTGTGTGTGTGTGTGTGTGTGTGTGTGTGTGTGTGTGTGTGTGTGTGTGTGTGTGTGTGTGTGTGTGTGTGTGTGTGTGTGTGTGTGTGTGTGTGTGTGTGTGTGTGTGTGTGTGTGTGTGTGTGTGTGTGTGTGTGTGTGTGTGTGTGTGTGTGTGTGTGTGTGTGTGTGTGTGTGTGTGTGTGTGTGTGTGTGTGTGTGTGTGTGTGTGTGTGTGTGTGTGTGTGTGTGTGTGTGTGTGTGTGTGTGTGTGTGTGTGTGTGTGTGTGTGTGTGTGTGTGTGTGTGTGTGTGTGTGTGTGTGTGTGTGTGTGTGTGTGTGTGTGTGTGTGTGTGTGTGTGTGTGTGTGTGTGTGTGTGTGTGTGTGTGTGTGTGTGTGTGTGTGTGTGTGTGTGTGTGTGTGTGTGTGTGTGTGTGTGTGTGTGTGTGTGTGTGTGTGTGTGTGTGTGTGTGTGTGTGTGTGTGTGTGTGTGTGTGTGTGTGTGTGTGTGTGTGTGTGTGTGTGTGTGTGTGTGTGTGTGTGTGTGTGTGTGTGTGTGTGTGTGTGTGTGTGTGTGTGTGTGTGTGTGTGTGTGTGTGTGTGTGTGTGTGTGTGTGTGTGTGTGTGTGTGTGTGTGTGTGTGTGTGTGTGTGTGTGTGTGTGTGTGTGTGTGTGTGTGTGTGTGTGTGTGTGTGTGTGTGTGTGTGTGTGTGTGTGTGTGTGTGTGTGTGTGTGTGTGTGTGTGTGTGTGTGTGTGTGTGTGTGTGTGTGTGTGTGTGTGTGTGTGTGTGTGTGTGTGTGTGTGTGTGTGTGTGTGTGTGTGTGTGTGTGTGTGTGTGTGTGTGTGTGTGTGTGTGTGTGTGTGTGTGTGTGTGTGTGTGTGTGTGTGTGTGTGTGTGTGTGTGTGTGTGTGTGTGTGTGTGTGTGTGTGTGTGTGTGTGTGTGTGTGTGTGTGTGTGTGTGTGTGTGTGTGTGTGTGTGTGTGTGTGTGTGTGTGTGTGTGTGTGTGTGTGTGTGTGTGTGTGTGTGTGTGTGTGTGTGTGTGTGTGTGTGTGTGTGTGTGTGTGTGTGTGTGTGTGTGTGTGTGTGTGTGTGTGTGTGTGTGTGTGTGTGTGTGTGTGTGTGTGTGTGTGTGTGTGTGTGTGTGTGTGTGTGTGTGTGTGTGTGTGTGTGTGTGTGTGTGTGTGTGTGTGTGTGTGTGTGTGTGTGTGTGTGTGTGTAAAGATTTGTCCTGAAAATAGTTTATGGGGGAACACCGCCTATGTACAACAGCAATTAACGGTTATATGTAGAATGATAATGATGATGTTAAGTAATTTGAAAGTTTATAAAAATTATACGAACACAAGCACAACGAACAAATTAAATAGATTTATAATTGGCGAAGTACAGCGTAAACAACATAAAAACAGTAGAATTGAGATTACTTTTTGAAGTCAATTAACAAATTGGACGACCCGGTTAAATTATTAACAGGATATTGACGGCTTAGTTCAGAAACTGTCAATTCATCAATTTTCCAAGGCAGCTATTTAAAGAGTTCAATTTCAATCTCACTTAATAAAACTTGGATATCAACAACTTGAATATTTCAGCAATAAAAATATAAGTTTACAATTTGCAATTAGTACAAGTGTGAATTAAAACAATTGTATTATAAACTCCCTGAATACTATTAACATTGTGCTGTCATCCGTATAATTCATAAGTCCATCCAATTACCAGCAACATGTCCCAAAACTTATGTGCAAATATCATTATCAACCAAGTTCACTGCTCTTAAACATATATCGAAACCAATGTTTGTATATCGTTGTACAATGTGTCATGTAATAATTTATTAGTAGCCAGCTTAATATCTGTCACTTACAGTGTGGATTTTAATAGAAACCGACAAAATATATCGATGGCGTATCACGATAAAACCATACCAGATTTTAAGTTAACCTTCTGAATTTTTCAAACAAGTGCCACGCGGTTTTTGTATTGTATTTTTTATATCACTTTGAGTGGATACAGAGCCTAAATCAGTCCTAAGAAATGAGAATACATATTTTTGAGGACTAGTACTTAGTGAACTTCTGTGAACTACTTGTGTGAAAGTGGCGCCCCTTTCTGACGACAGACGTGGTTTACCAGATTACGAATAGTTAATCAATATTATTAATTACTTATAATGAGTAATTGTAATTTTATGAAATCCTTTTCGTTGCATCGTCACAATGCTGATTTAATGTGAAGGTAATACCTTAGTTCCTTACCTGTATGTACGAGAGCGGATTAGCTGGCGGCACGTTGGGGTCCACCAGCTCGATGTTGACGAGCCACGGCAGCAGGTACTGGAGCAGCAGCTGCCGGACTTCGGTGCGAGCCGTTTGAAACCGCGCTGTGATCTCTGTTCCGAGCAAACGAACACTGTTAACTATTTCATTGAGTGAATCGTTTTATATCGAATGACTATTGCGAGACAAATAAATAACCAAACAAGCAATCCACTTTCACAATTGTTACAATAAAACAATATCAGACGACCGGACAAATATAATGGTCTCACGTCTTTTTGCCGGAGTGCGTACAAAGGAGTACACAGCTTTGTAAAGCTTAGGTATGTAGGTAGACGCGAGCTCCTTTAGTATCATAAAATATTATTTTATAGAAGCAGTTTGTCATTTTGTTGCGATCTGCGTAAAGTCCTGTAAAGTGGAGGCTGAAAGTCGGGTCAAGCTCCGGTAATGTCGCTAGACGTTCCCGCGTCATAATTTATTCAAGGAACTCTCACAGGGCAGACGTTTCTAATTGCTTATATAATGAATACTGTTTTGAGTTGACTCAAATTACATTATTACGTGCGGTTTTATGAGAGGCATCTTATATTTTTACGCCAGATTCCTATCAGAGTAGGCAGAGAAAGCCGACGGGTAAAGACCGCAATTGTATACCGTATAGCAATTTTATAATTTTTCATTTCATTAATGATTATATATTTATCGATTTTCTACATTGAAATTTATACTTTAAGTAATGAAATCATGTTCCGTTTTTGTGACTAGGTTTGCAGATCGACTTCTGAGGAAGTAACTAGGACTGCATCGTCAGCAAGAGCTCACAAATTCATGGCGCTCAATCATTCAGATATTTCTTCAGATAAAGAATGACCCATCTAACTGTAAGCAGCCTTTCGTGTCGCTAACTTCACTTTTAGATTATTTATATGTAGTGTAGTATGTGTTTATTATACCACAAGAGTGGTAAACAAGCATAAAACCCGTTTGACGGTAAACGATCATTGTAGCCTATGGACGCCTGCAACACAAGGGGTGTCACGTGCGCGTTGCCGACCCTGAAGAAATCTTAATATATTCTTTTTGAAGAACTCCATACTGTAGTCTCTAGAGAAAACTTTGGCAGGGAGTTCATTCTACAGCCTGTTCATTCGTGGGAGAAAATTTCTCTGAAACCGCACTGTACGTGACCATTTAGGCTCAAGCGTATGAGGACGAATTCAAAAGTGGCTGAAGGGATCATTCCAAACAATTTCTCAGAAAACAATCCGTTATACAAACGAAGGGATACAAAGTCTCGCTTCACACAAAGGGATACAAAGTCTCGCTTCAGACTTAAGGGCTCAATACCGCCTGTGAGCTTGAGATTGTCAACAAGTCTCATAGCTCGTCTTTGAACAAAGTCAAGAGGATTAAGCTGGTATCCAGGTGTTTCGGCCCACAGATGAGAGCAGTACTCCATGAGAGGCCGGACTTGCGATTTGTACAACAATACTGTTTTTAGCGCTGAACGTGTAAGTTTGTGTCTTAGACGGGATAAATTGGACTAAATTTAGTCGTCCTCAATTAGATACAAGCTAGCAAGAGTACTCTCGATTTCAGACACAGGTTGTTCGCGGTTAGTCTCTACAACGGTGCGAGGAATATTTGCACGGTCCGTATAGTATGCATCACCAGTACTGTCATTCGCATGTCTGTGTTAATGTATGTCGACCGTAGCCAGCAAATCATTGATATGCAGCAAAAACAGCGTTGGGGTTAAATCGGAGCCTTGTGGGACATCGGCTTTAATGGCCATGCTCAGGTTGGAGCTACTACCGTCAACCACGGTTTTAATGCATTTGCTAGACAGAACGCTGGCGATCCATTTGCATAATCCCTTAGGAAGTCGGTATGAAGGCCATTTCGACAGATGACCATTATGCCAGATCTGATCGAAAGCCTTTGCTATGTCTAGGCTAATAGCCAACGCCTCACCCTTGCTTCAACGATAAGAGCCCAGCGGTTTGTGAAGTACAGTAGAAGATCACCAGTTGACTGATGGTGACAGAAACCGTATTGGTGATCGCTCAATCAATCGTGATCCTCTAGGTTCTTAAGGAGCTGTATATTGATTACTAACTCGATCAGCTTGGAGAGAAGAGAAGCGATGGTGATAGGCTTATAATTCGGTTTAGGTTCGATCTATCTCCCTTTTTAGGCACATGGTGTATAAAGGTGGTCTTCTAATTGGAAGAAAATCACTCTGTGGAGTATGATAGTGCAAAAAGACGTAAGTATTGAACACAACTCAAGAGCATATTGCTTTAATACCAATGCCGGTATACCGTCTGGACCATTCAACTTAATGATGTCAAGAAATAATAATACCCGCCGGACTCTCCACTGTGATATGGTAATCTCCGGCATGGAATCTCTGCACCACGGTAGGCGGTGCTGTATTTCCAGCATCTAAAGTCGAATGCGAGACAAAGAGAATGCCTAGCAAATCAGATTTCTCTTTTGGCTAATAGCCAAGTTATCATTTAGCTTCCGTAAAGGAGGTAAGGACGACTGACTAAAATTGCCTTCGGCAGTTTTGGCGAGCGACCATAAAACACGAGTTCCAAAGGGATGACGTGCCAGAAACCATAGGTCAGAGCAAACTCGCGAGCAGATCTGCCCGCAAAATCAGTATTCCGAGAGCCAAGCCACTCAGTATGGTAGGCATTGAAGTCTCCGAGGTTCACCAATTTCGCGGAGGGCTACTTTCCACGACCTTTGTCAGTCGTCAATTGCAAGTGCTCAAAAAGTCGAGTTGTGTCAAGGTACTTTCTGTTGTGTCACTATGGTTACAAATCATAAGTAAATGATGTTTATAACTAATACGGCTGAACAAATAAAGAATCAGTTGAAGCAATTCCGATAGTCCAATCGATAATTTTTTTGTGTCATGTCATATTTTGCTGTGATGGTTTTCGTAAACAGAATAAAAATCAATTACAAACCTACAAAAATATATGACATAATAAAAAATAAAAATAATCTTCGATAATTAAGGCCAAAATACAAGGTCAACTGCGTCATTGACAAGATCAATAACTTTTAATTAAATGTTTTTTAAAACGTCTATAAAACATGAAAAGATAATTATTTTCTCTTCGGTTTTTTTTTGTTAAAAATACTTCCTTAAAAATATTTAATAAGTTGTGGCTATCTCCATAATTGAAAACGGTCCAACCAATCTCATAGAGAGAGACAGGTACCTGGTATTTATTATTATAAGTATTGGCAAAATCTTTTAATTTTTGTAATAGTCCGATTAAAGGTCTTAGGAAAAGAAAAATATTGAAACATGGATAGGACAAAGACTTTCCACTGTTATCGGAATATATAATAAACTGTATTCCTTGGACAAAATCATTAATATATTATTGAATGACCGAGAGATGGGCAACAGCATCCATTTTAAAACTTTACCAAAGCCTGCCTGCCACGCCTGCTAAGCGTGGTAACTATTGGCAAAACCTTAAATGGCGAAGGCCTATGTTCAGTAGATATGATATGCACGGGAAAGTAGGTTTTCTTGTTACCTCTTGGCGCCTTTACGGCTCAATTAAATTTACTATACAGAAACTATTTGGTATGAAGACGGACACAGGTCAGTATTTACCCCGGTCGATCAATATATTCTGGTCACGTGAACCGGGGAGCAGGTAAATGGTACTAAGTATAAACAGGATAACAAAAATATCGTTCATTTTAGGAAAGAAACCGCACAATAAAAGGAAGTCTTACGCAGATAAGTGTTTTCGTTGCGTCACGGCAAATGGTAAATAGTGAGTATCACTCTAAGCATAGCGTAATGGGGTGGGGGGTGCGACGCTGCGGGCTGGACCAAGCCACAAACAAAGTGGATCTGTCGCGGGCACGTTGATTGCACCATCACCACGCTTAGTTTGGAGACGGAAACATAATCTTTTTTACAGTTTTATTTACAATCGATTAATAACAAAAACTGTATCCATGGTGTACATACAAGTTTTTAAATCTGACAATACATAAAATAAATACATATCAGTCGCGCCTGTCTTTCTCTACGATAGGCCGAATCAATGGAACACCAAATGCTTCGACAACAATTGGCAAACCGTGGATAGTTAAATTAGATCACACAAATTGCATACTAGAAAGCCTGTGTATGGAAATACACGGTTGACATAAAAGAAAGTTTGTCTGCAGATAAAATGTCCATCGTTTATACAGGATTTTATAGTGTTTCGAAATTTTGATGTTATTCCAGTTATGAAATTCAGTTTATAACTATTTACTATTACCATTTGTGACACTATGTTTGGTCACCTGAGGACATAGGCATGGTGAGTTCCCGACGCAACACACGGCTTCCATGAGAGATAAAAATGTTCATTGTTTGTCGGGATCATAAGAAAGTCCACTACACTAGTCTACACTGTATTCATTCATCATCCGAGACATTTTTAAGTCTTTCCAGTTAAAAAATGTAACTTATCTGTATCATTTGCATGCATATATATAAATCGTAGAGCTCACCTGAGAACATGGGCATTGTGAGTTCCGGGTGCAATTGCGACAGTTGCCGGGAGAGGTACAACTGCGACCGGCAGTAGGTGGTGCACAGCAGCGCGTCCAGTGTACCCCGACCTTTCTCCGAACCTGTTGACAATATCCACGTTTATTTATCTACGCTAATATTATAAAGAGAATGGATTTGTATTTTTGTATGTATGTTTGTAATGAATAAACTCAAAAACTACTTTGCCGATTTAAAAAATTCTTTTACCATTAGAAAGCTACATTCACCCTGAGTAACATAGGCTATATTTATTGCTAGAAAGGATTACGGGTCCTTACTAAAACTTTAGTAACGTAACTCAAGGTGTAAAAAAATATTACAAAATATCTTTGGTCGCGTGCGCTGCGGAAACTATTGGTGATACAACAGAAGTATGTTCTACAATATTGAAGAAAATATCAATAACTACAAAAAAATTCGCGATACTATATGTCCAACTATTATCGTTACGTCACAATAACTACTTTTTAAAATTTTGTAATAATGTCCACCCGGGCGAAGCCAGGACGGGCCGCTAGTACATAAATATATTTAAAAGCTTTATTATTTTTTTCCACCCTAAAATGACCAGGAAGAGATGGCTATTTAGCGATAACGCCCTCCTTTACCTTGCTTCTTATAATTTTTTTTGTGTACATATTGTTCACTTTTGTAATCTGTATCATTGTTTGTTGGGAACAATAAGGGTTTCATTCAATTATTTAAATTATATTATTGGACGATAAACTTCGACAAAGTCTCACAGAGATATCTATAGAGCCACGGTTACAACTGTCCATCGAATGGGCTGTCAGTTTGTTTGCCATTCCAAGTAACTTTAACCACTAAAAATTTACAGATTTTAAACTAATATGAACGTTTTATATATTATTTTTAAGTAGTCTTAAGAGCGCGAATACGACCATGTTTTTTTCTTTGTAGGGTGAAAATGGAATGGTAACCCCGCCTGCGCTAACGGTATACGCTGGCGGAGCACCAGTGAAGGGTGATCGATGAGAAAACAGGCCAGTTAGCCCATCATGATGAATTCATCAGGAATTAACCATGATAGTTTCCAGGGGGAACCGCGAGGAGGTCGACATGGCTGAGTATATTGCTAGCAATGGGATTCTCAGTCTCCATTACTAACAATCCCTTTCCCCCCCAATACGACCATGTGACCGGGGCTGCTTGACTGAGACTTAAGAGCAGAATGCTTAAATAATTCAAGTAACACAAGTTACTAATATTAGTCATCTAGAGTAATCATATAGAGGAAAATCAGTCATTGACTCTAAATAGCAATGATCATAGTAAGGTTTTCAAATTCAAAATCGTATATAGTATGTTCCAAAGTCGTTATAAGTTTCACATTGATTTTGCTGAAATTATATACACGAGAGAGAAGATTAATTTGCAGTGTTGCCAGTTTGTAATACCCACTTAGCAACCGGCATGAATTTCCTTTACGCGGTTTGTTACTCTAATAATATCGGTTGGAACACACACAGCGGCTGCCTTAATGAATACCTTCGTACATACAAAGCTAATACGTACCTTTAAATTGACAACTAACGTGTTCTATTTTTATTACCGACTGACTTAACCAGACCAGAATTCATTCAGGAAAGTTCGTATATTAAATTGGCCCGACCGGAAATTAAAACCAAAGTCTCATTTACGCAAAGCAGCGAGCTTACACCACTTCGGTTCGGAGGTCATCATTTTTTTTTGGTTTATGCGTATAAAATAAAACATGAATTAGAAAAAAATTCTTCGAATAAATATTCGGAATTCTGTTCGGAAAAATAAAAAAAGGCCCATTTTTACATGCCACACTTTGTCTAAACCTATCGTTTCTGAATAGTGAATAGCTAATATAATATTCATTCGGTATGTATTTTATTTTATATTGATATTAATATTAAAAACTAGCTAGCTTTAGAAACTCGGAGCGTTACGAATTACATAATGTGAACGTATTCCGAGCGAGGCTACAGTGAGAATATTCACATCTTAAGGGTATCATTCATGCGTGTATCATTCATATCATTCACGTTTTCACAATATCGAAATATTCTGTATTATTATAGATAAGGTTCTAGTCCACAGAGAAGTATAAAAATAAAACAGGTCAGACGCGAGCTGAATTCACACGCCGAGGGTTCTGTACATCTTATATATTTTATTTATTTGATTTAGCATTGAAAAATACATACAAATTAAAATTTTCACGCTTTTACGATTAACCCCTGTTATTTTATCGCAATTTTTATATAGCAAAAGGGTTACAGGATGACAATCGAATATAATAATTGTAGTACGATATATTTTCATGTATAGTTCTAGAAATAATGTATATGGTAAACAACGTTTGCCGAGTCAGCTAGTTAGTATATAAATATGAAATGAAATAAGCTTTATTGCATTTATCATACAAAATAGATACCTAGTAGTTATAATTGTTATTAACACTACAATTCGTAATTATTTATTTTAGGCCATAATTATGGTTAAAGAGTGGACGGTATAACTAAGTTTGTATTGGGAAGTTTTTTGATAATTTCTCAAAAACGGTGCTAGTTAATAAATTTATTTTATTTTTCATTTAATATTCACATGTGTTTTTATAAATTGTGATCATTTCAGATTTTTCGCTTCACAATTTCGGAGATAGGTGGAGGAGGGGAAAGGAATTTTCTCTCATATTTTGGATCCTAATTATAAAACCATGCAACATAAAAAATAAATAAAAATCTAGATTTAAAATGTACAAATAAAACTATTTCATATGACCTGTTTGGCCCAGTAGGTTCGTTCAGATTAATTAGGTTTCTATTATTGAATGTTAGTCTGTAATTTTAATTAATTTTGCGGTTAGGTTTGAATTTACGTGTTTATAAGTCAGGTATTCAAACAATAGGTCACGCCGTTTTTAAGAACGTATATTACAAAACAAGAACATTTTCTCTGCAAAAAGCGAACTCAATCGCGAGCAAACACCGGAGAACGACGACATGTTTCGTAGATACATTGGACTGGTAATATTTAAATTTAGAACGTGGAATCGTGTGTCTCTACGTAGACCATAGATGTAGTATGACGCACTCACATACTGACAGACCGGCAATGCAATTATAAGAACGAGACAAGAAAATAGGTACACTAGTGTGTGTATTTTGTGAAAATGAGCATGTCTCAATTTATATGGAATTGAAGTTATAAAAATAGCAAAAAGTCAAATAATTGTTAGAATTCACATTTACATCCGTGGACCTCCAGAACTTTATTTGGCTAAAAATTTGATGTTTTTTCTACAATTTCTTGTATAAAATGTTTCTGATGATTCTATAATATTGCATTTAAAGCAAGAAATATTTTGTGTAATTTGATAATAAATATGCAATTAATTATGAGTGGATACTTTCCTAGTTTATAGTATATTCAGTCACAGCATACTTTGTACCAACTGTATTGACTTAAAATTAATTACGTTTCAAAATGTGAAAATAATCAGAATTCATTTTGTTTATACATCCGCGAAATCAGCTTCGACTTTGTATTATGTAGAAGAATTTCCATTTTATTTCTCGCTCTAATATGTATTTAAATATATATTTTCTATTTTACATCATCAAATTATGTACTTTCTAAGTTTATACGTAGATTTTTATTAGCTACAGGGAATCTTTTGTTTCGAAAAGAAAAACAGCATGTTCGATTGTCAAAGTCGAGGGGGCGGGGAAACGAATGGGATAGAGGTACGCAAGTAGGCGACTTTTGTACAAAGTCTCCTACCCTCTGATAGTATTATATTATCTGTGCCTCTGGTAACCCTCTTCATACTATAAAAATAATAGAAATGCACAATTTTTCCAATAAAGTCTGATTTTAGATACGAAATTAAATTTTCCCGTCAAGTATAATCTTGAAAAAGGCATCAACAAAATCTAAAGCTTCATTAATTATTAAGTTCCGTTGAACAGACCACTGTACAAGTACTGTCGGCTTGGCTATCTTTTTAATTTATATTGATCGACTTCTTTCTCCCAATAAGTTCGTAATTAAGGGCTTCGTGATTAAATTTGTTGACAGAGCTGGAGTCAAGAGTGACAATTTAAGTTAGCGCACTGTACCGTGACGGTTTAAGGCATTTGGTGTCGATTGTTGACACTTGCTGGAATTTCCAGTTTATCATTGGAAAAACACTTGGTAGTAGCGAGTATTACATTTTATTTTCATATAATTTGCTAATTATGAAGGATTTAAAAGAAGCCTGCCTGAGGTCACTTGGCATTCCACTGTTTCTGCCTACCTCAATAGGAGACAGACGTGATGAATGCATATGGAATATTAGTGAACTACGTCATAAGTGTACGTGAATCCTAAAAAAAGCTACTATATTAGTATTAATTATTACAAATGTGAAAGTTTGTAAAGATGTTATGATGTTTGTTACTCGGTCATGCTTAAATAGCTTAACGAATTTGAATAAAAATATAAAGAGATTTCGAATTTCTAAATTTATATCTGCGCAGTATATCTTCTTTTAACAAAAGTCTTTGTACAGTATTAATGAATTCATAGCATTAAAAATAGTTCTTTATTCTTTATTTGACTTAATTTCTCAAATAGGCTGTTTTTGCATTCGACGTTATTTATTAAGTTTTCAACAAACAAGTCGTTTGCTTGGACACCTCTGTTCCATTCGTGTTTCTACTGTTAAGCAGTTGTGTTCGCATGGCTGTGTTTCGGTTTAAAGGGTATGGACAGTGAATTTACAGGGTACAAAGGAATAACACCTGAGTCCTCAGGAATGGCAACGCATTGTCAACAGAAAAAAAAATAACCTGTTAATTTCTATAATGCTAGTATATGTATTAAAAAATTTCTAAAGAAAGGTTCTTTTGATTTTGACAATTCTTTTTACAGTCGGTGGGTTGACTTCCCTGTTGGTCACGTCTAGTTTCGCTACGATTGAAGTTTGTTTTTTCTGTGGTATAAAATCTACTTGTAAATAGAGAAACCCGAAAAGTAAAGTTCTAAATAAACTTGGGTTTACATGCGAGTGCTTGTATGTACGAGGAGAGAGGGTCTATTC